AACCACCTCTGAACATCTTTTGCCTTGACAACCCTACAGGGTTCGCCATAAGTCAGCTGTGATTTGATGGCATTTTCCGCTGCCACCACTATAGTAAATTAAAGCTGAAGTATTTTAAAAAGAATAATGTATTGTTCCTTGATCATTGAGCAATCTCGTATATAAATATCTGATGCTTTAGCCTTTTATACAGACAATTTTTCCCTAAGCTCCTGCCCAATTAATACCTTGGCATCCGCCACTAGGCATATATTCTGGAACTTATTAAGACTGTAAGATATTAATAGCAAATGTTATTCCTTTGAATAGGAAATGTTTATATTTTGGAATAAAATTAATGCATTAAGTTTGTATGCCGATTTTAAATGTATTGTTAATTTAATTGCTATGATTTATAAGTAGACTTCTCCCAGCTGTGAAAGCTATGGGCCAATCCATAGAAATATTTGATAAATGTTCTGAATCAGTGATTCTCAGTGACTTGGGAGCTCCCTGTGGCTCTTCTGAGCAGCATTCTCCAGTGTGGCATTCTAGAAATGCCTCACCCTCCTTAAGAAACAAGGGGAAAATGGTAACTTTAATTCGTGTCCCAGGATAAGGGAATAAGGATGTTCAGAAAAGAGTCTTGAGAGCATTTACACATGTAGCACCCAGCATTTGCTGAGCTTTTTTCAGTTACAATATTTCAGAGCAGTTTTCAGCCAAACTTTGAACATTCTTGAGGTGATTCTTTAGCTTTTCCACAATTTGAGGAATCCCACAGTCTAAGTGTGAGCTCCTCCAAGAAACACCAGAGTTTTAGTCAATTTTTCCCAGAAGTGAGGGACTGAAACAGGTACAGTCTCATCCCAAAGTATTCACTGAATTGGGCTGCTTTTTTCCAAAAGCTAGGCTCTGAGATAACAGTCTCCTGAGAAAGGATTCCTTCAATCTCACTGTCTGGAGGCTCATGACCTATCTGACTCAAACGGACAGTTTTACAGATTTTCTTCTCCACTCCCTCTCCCATCAGGCTCCTGAAGCATTCTAGATTGGCCTAGATAGGCTGTTAGCCTCTCTATGCACACACACATACACACTGAACAGGCATACAGGGGTTTGGTAGTTAACAGAAAGGGTCAGGAGTGGACCTTTACCCATCCATCATACACGCACCTTGGTAATCTCACTCTCACCTGAGTTACTGTGCCTCATGCCTGGGAGAGAACAAGAAGGCAGAGATGAAAGCTCTGCATATATGTACCTTCCACCCCGTATGTTCTTCAGTGGGAGTGCACTAAAAAAGAATGGTTGTCAGACTTTCCATATCCTTTTTATAAAGGCATGAAAGAAATAAAGAATCTTACCAAATTATTTCTATGTTTGTGTGTCCTTACATGGGAGTGCAAATTGAGCTTGGTCTTTCACAAGATCAGACCATTATGCTCAATTAATTAATAACCCTACCATTTCCTTATACAGAACAAAGTTTGAATCCAGTGGCACCTTTAAGACCAACAAAGTCTGAATTTGAACTTTGTTCTTAAGACCAATATGGCTACCCACCTGAATCTATTTCCTTATTCAGTCCTCGTCCCTAATGTGGAACAGAATTCCCCTTTCACCCATAAACTTGCATTGAAATGGTAGGGAATTAATCCGTCTTTACCCCACTGTTTAAACACTCTGAGGGTGAATGTATCAAACAGCAGCTAAACATTATATTGCACTGGAGAAAATTCATCATTAATGTGAAACCTGAAAAGCTTGTGAAGTCTTGAGATTTGCTTTCAGAAAGCACATTTGTACTCAGTCAGCATTGTAATCTGTTATCTCTTCCTTGCTTTCAACCCATAGCATTTGCTCATTAACATTCACCAGAGCACCAAATTACACAGCACACTGGTATCCTTGTGGGTGGCATGTTCTCACCCTCTCGAAGAAGAGAATTTGAATTTGTGTGCTCACACTCTCTGTGTACAGCCAGCTTAGTACTGCCTTATGTCAAACCAGGGGTAGCGGTAAGCTACCTGCAAGTGCAACTTGGCTTCTCTTTTCCTCTGACACCCCCCCCCCCAAGGCTACCAGCCCGTTAAGGTTCGACAAGACAGGAGTGAGCACTCTGTCATGACTGTGTGAGGAAGCAGAAGCAACAGGCAAGCAAAGTAGAGTGTGGGTCTCTGTTCACTGAAATTACTGTTTTCAAGGCTCTTCTAAACCTGCTTAAGGCTTGGGTAAATGTTAAATTTTATTAAATTGTCTTGTGTTCCTTCTGAAGAGATTCCCTCTTTTGGTGTAAAAAAGGTTACCAACAGTGGTGTTTTATATGAGGAAGAAAACTTTATCAATTTGTTTCTGTGTAGGGATGAAAATGGCAATAGAGGAGATTTAACTATTTCTGGTTTTGCAGGTAAACCTAGAGAAGCAGGAGAAGGGAGAAGCAGGGAGCGGGGGGGGGGGGGGGGAAAAAAAAATAAGATGCTTATGAGGTAAAGTTGCCAGTCATGACAGCTTTTCATTGCTCTTGTTTTAGTGAAAGGTATATTTTAACATATAACATGGGAACTTTTCAAATCTCCATCAGTCGGTACATTTTTAATCCCCCTGGGTAAGCCTGATATTAGCTTGTTGTTCCACACACACATTCAGAATTTTTATATATGACTATTATGTACGTTTCTTACTGTTGATACATTTCTGAAACTAATACAGCAAGAGGTAGGCAGTGTGATCAGAAGAGAGGGCCATGTTTACAATCTTGGGGTTGCCCCCAATGTACACATTAATAACTGAACATTAATTTGTATGTTGTGAACAGTTGGTGACATGCTGATTTTATAGCAAAAACAGAATCACTTTGCAATAGTTGGACTGTAATGTAAAAAAGGAAGGACTCTCAGCACTAAACCTACTCTTGAAAATTCTTAATATATGTACTTAAAAATAATTGAGTTATATCCAAAGCTGGCCTGTTCACAGAGCAATCTTCTGTTCAAGAAACAGAATTGAATCTTCTGTTTATCTTTTTTAATGCGTAGCTTTGTGATCCAACTCAATGAGTAGTAAAAAAAATCTAGTAATCTTTCGCAATATTTTTATTTCCTTGTTTGCGAGTTACTATACATTTTATCATCATGTTTTCAGCATATCTGTGCCTTCACGAAGCCTACAAGGCAGTATTAACCAACTTCTGATCAGTGAAATGTATGTAGCCATGTTTCTATCCCATCTTCTGCCATAAGAAAAACAAAGCTGTGCATGATACTCATCTCCCGATTTTGATATGTTAGCATCACCAGTTGAGTGCTTCCTGTAGCTGTAATGGGTTAGTGTTCACTGGAAGTCTTTTGAGACATAAAGACAAACCATGGTTTATCTACAGGAACTAGCCTTAGATATTCTTGCATGCTCCTCCATACTCCTTCCCCATCTCTTACAGACCATCATTTGTTATGATGTCTGAATTGAGTAAGAGAAGTTTGATCTCTTGCTACAAACCACGTTTGTGCATCACTGTTTACTCCTGGTTTGTGGAAAGTGTGGAAGCTTCAGCCTGCAAGCCTGTGAGAGCAGAGGAAGGGGGGTATGCAAGGACTTCCAAGGCTCATTTCCTTAATGAGAAACCACAGTTTGGTGTCATTGAATGCAGCCCAGGTAGCTCATGATAAAGTGACACGGATGCTGAAGTCCTAATAGGGTTGAATCCTAACTATTGTTCTGATTGTGAGCCCTTGCCTTTTTCCTGGTTCATGCCTTTTTCCTGGTAGCTACTGAAATTCATCAGGTCTTCTTTTCCTAGCATGAAATGAAGGTTTAGAGGATGCTGTACCACCTGAATTCCTTCCTGCCATGAAGCTGCTAAAATTGCAGAGCAAAAATGGGGGTAGTACTAGGATAAGAGTTGGCTGTAAATCTAAATAAATATGTATATGACTCTGATCATGTTTGTAGATTCTACCTACATGGAGGCTCCATCATCAGAGGCAATAGCCCTTATTGGAGACAGGCAAAAGATGAGGGCTTACTGCCTTGTTATAGGATACCCTGAACAGATTGGCTGGCCACCACTGGAAACTTAGATAATCTGATCCAACAAAGCTGTTCTTGCATCCTTAACTGAATTAATAATGGTTCTCTCTGATGTGATGCTGAACAGAGCACTATGTGAACATGACCACTGAAGTCTTTTGTTTGTGTGCTGACCTAGGAGCCAGTGTGCAAATGTCTTCCATTGACAGCTTCAGTTTGCAGTCGTGTAGTGATGGCTAACAATTTTGGATGTTGCAAAATTTATCTTAACTGCATACAAATTACTGAGTAGACAATTAATTGCTTAACAACTAAATGCATCTTTTAAATCTTTCCAAAGAGACCAGAACGGTAGTCTTAGGAAAGAAAAAGTGGTCTGTAGCATGGACACTTAGACCATAATTTCCAAAGATTCTTGTAGGGAAGTCAGGGTAGCAAGACTGATTAAAGAACAGATATGCCCAAACCCCCAAGCAGCCCATGGATGGGAAATCTTTGATTCTAAGTATTGTTCTGGTAGTCAAAGAAACAAGTTGGCACCTGACATGTCTTGGTTTACCTCTTTTGACTTCTGTTTCTGTGGAAGTTTTCAATTCCAAGGAAGACTTTTTAAAACATACTTTACATATAACTGTCCCTGAATTTTTTAAAAGCTCAGTCAAGATGTTATAGCAACAATACTGAGAGCTCAAAGGTCATGTATGGAGGTGCTGAAATCCTCATTCCCTGTTTCCAAATGAATACCGATAAATCAAAATGACTGAAAGCTTTGACAGTATTGTTCATACTCTCAAGGTCGTTTATTTCATATGCGTTTCTGCCTACAAATAGTGGAGCTGGCTGATGAAATCCTTGAAATTAATTTGCTCTCTCCTTTTTTTAATGAAACATTCTTTTTTCTATCTCCCTACAGCTTAGGGGAAATTGATTTTTTTTTAAAAAACAAACCCTAGTTCTTCATTATCATCCTTATGGCTTTCCCCTTTCTGCAGAGATTCTGAAAGAATATACCAGACCAGATGTGGAGTGTTTGGAGCTATTTGCTCGGAATTTGCAGCCTGGATGGACCAGTTGGGGCAATGAAGTTATCAAATTTCAGCATATGGATTACTTCACTGAAGAGCAATATAAAAAGTGACCGGAGTCGGGTGGCTCTGGTGGCAGACTGATCATGGTTTTGCAATCAACCTGTGAAATTGGAGTTTGGACTACTATAAACATCCAGTCCTCAAAGGATTGTGCATGTCTGTTCGAGTTGGGCTCTAGGGATTTCTGTGAATTAGAAACTATCACACATAGATCTCCGTGCAAAGTAATTACAATGTGCATATACCTAAGTGGAAGAAGAGAGAGGGTAGATACATATGAGCTATCAGAGCATGTCCAGTACCATGTATTGCCCAACAGGTATGCATTTCTCATGTTGTAGAATACTAATTATACCCTAGTACAACAGTGTTGCACAATATATGAAGAACGTTTTTTCCATTTTGTAGCTGAATGTGGTTTTTCATTTGGAAACAAAGGCTTTATACATTATTATTGTTTCTAAGGCACCTGTTCTTGCTAGTGACTTTTTAAGGTTTTAAAAGTTAAAAGAAAGTCTGTCCAGCTAAAATTAACTATGGCCTTGTCACACTGAATGCAATAGGAGTAATTGTGATTGGCTTGTTCCATTTGCTTCACTGGGAGTTAACTGGGACCACTTTTGCTGGATTTGGACATTCTGTTATTTTAACATTTTTATCTCCCTGATACTTAGAGGACTTAAATTTCATTGAGTAAATATTCTTCTGTATGTTTGCTTAAAAAGATGTTCTGCAATGAATATGAGAATAATTAATGTATTAGGACGATGAACACATATGTTCTCTTGCTTTAAGGTTTGAAAAAAGTCACACGAATAACAATTACCATATGTTGGTATGCAAGATTTTATCAAAAGGGATGTCTTGAGAGAGGAAATCACTGTTATTTAAGATGGAGAAGAAATCTCTACAATAAATTAGATAAACTTTAGATTGTTCAGTGTGCTGTTAAATTTTTAAATAAGCCCTGGAAGTTTACAAATGGATTTTTTTGTACCTTTAATAATAAAAAATCAATTTCAGGAATATTTTTCTTGATCTATTATTTACATGTCTCTCAGTGTTTAGATGAATGTTTGGTTTGATTTGAAATGTTTTCTTATATGATCTCCAGGGACCATCAGAGCTAAAATAATTTCCTGTTTTTGTTGTTGTTGTTGTTTTAAAGATGCAGACTGAAATAGGAAGGAATTAATCTACCTAGGTTCGCTTTCACTTGCATGTAGGCAACCATTTCCTTTTTCCTTGTAGCAACCAGGGGACACACTATGCAGTTACTTTCCAGAAAGCTCTTCTAGATATTCCTATTGGAATTGTAGTCTCTTCTTTTCTTTTGAACACCTGCGGTATTGCAGACTGCTTTTGAGACTCCCTGAATAGCCATTCTCTACTTTGTAGTTGTGGAGTGAGTGGGATTGTGTCCTTAATGCTTTCTGAGCATGCCAATGTGTGTGTGTGTGGGGGGGGGGTGTTTGATTTTGTTTTTTACTAATCCAGATTATGGCACAAGGCTTTATAAGTGATTGAATTCCATTGTTCAATTATTTCATTCTGATTATGTCGCCTAAAGAACCCTTGCTTGTGGACCTGTGTTTATTTAGAAGTACGCTTCCTTGGTTCAGCAGGTCTTAACAGAGTATGCATAAGATTGCAACCTCAATCTACAACAGTTGATCCAGTAACAATTTTTTTTTCTTTAGTGCTGTATCCATTTCACAAAACATCACCTCTTTGAATTTCTGAGTGGTGTTTCCCATTCAGCATAGTTAACTGTCTCGATCCAACTCAGCTGAGAACCCCTTCCCCACAGAGCATTAGTATTTGACATCAGTTATATTGGGTTTTAGTAGTAGTATGAATTGGTTTGAGAGTATTATGTAGTAGTACCGTTTCCTCGAAAATAAGACCTACCCAAAAAATAAGCCCTATCAGGATTTCTATGCATTTGTGGTATAAGCCCTAGTGTGTCCTCTTGAGAAAAAATAAATATAAGACAGTGTCTTATTTTCGGGGAAACACGTATTATGAACTGTTCAAAGCGTTACTCTTCTCCTTTGAACCTCTTTTGCTCCTGAGGAGAGCAGAGGTTTCACTCTGTCTTAAAAAAAATGTATTGAACATATGTGAGAAAGCACTGAAAAGCTGAACATCCACTCCCCTTAATTTTTCACTCAAGCTGTCAACATGTTCTTTCCATGAATGAGCTGATGAAATGGAGAGTGAATTTAGAAGATAATATTAAGATGGACAGCAATGATATTAGACTTTGTTCCCAGCCAAGAGACCCCTTTTAATGGTGCCTTTTCTCCCCATCCATTGAATTGCTCAATAAGAGCAACAGTTCTCCATCCAGGTCAGGTGTTCTCCTGTATTTGATGAGAAGAAAGACTGTGTCCATACAGACAAGGGGGAAAAAATAGGAATAATGGAACAATTCTATTCTTTTAAGGAAAATAATGCACCAGTTTGTGAATGGCGTGCTATTCAAAACCCAGAATGGAATCCACAATCGATTACCTATGTGACTGATAACTTGGTTAGAACTGAAATGTCTATCACATTGTTCTGTTTTTTCTTGAAAGAGTTCAGGGTGGGATAGATGGGTCTCCCCCCCTCTCTTTTAATCTCACAGCAACGCTGGAAGGTAGATCAGGCTGAAAACATGACTGACTCAGTGTTGCCCAGTGAGCTTCATGGCTGAGGGGAATTTGAACCTGGATCTCATAGTCCTAGCCAAAAACTGTACCATACTGGCTCTGGAGCTGAAACGATATCCTATGCCCCAAAAGCCCTTTTCTCCTAAATCTAGATAGATTAATGCTGTTCGTGGTCAATTGAGGAGGATTTTTAAAAGCCCTCCGCACGTTCCAGTGTGTTGTCTCATTAACTACTACATATAGTCCAGGCTGTACTTCGACATTGAAAAAGAGTTCTTGGACTAATCCTTGGTTGGACAAAAATTTGTGGCAGTGACAAGTTTCTCAGTAGTCTGTTATTAGAAAAGACATCTTCGTTAGGATATATTTTAACCCCGTACTTAGATTATCTCATAGAATGTTATAATCGAACTCTTTTAATGAAATTGAAGGACTGAGTTTGATTTTAAAATGTCAAATTAGCATATGACCTTTACTTATTTTTATAGCCTAATAAGCAAATATAGCTGATAATGCTTTATGAGATATTTTTGGAGAAAATATATTGATGGAAGAGAGCTGTGAAATTAACTTGCATGGAGATCTTTCTACAATCTCAGCCAGACTTCTTTGTGAGACGGGGAAATCTGATTGAGAAAGGGAGCACTTGTGTGATCCAGTGTTTCTCCTGCAAGCTGTATTGCTTGCAGCCTAGCTCAGTGTTTAGAATGATTAAAAGCAGGGGTTGGAGAACTCTCTCAAAAGACATTACTGTGGCTATAGAGGAGATGATGCTTTAGCTCTTTTACGTTCCTCACCCTCCAACCATCATTGGAGACAGACATGAAATACAAATTAGAAGTTCTGCATAAATCACTGTTAATAGATGGAGTGCAGAAAGATGTGGGGGCATGGAATCCTATTTATTGACGTTGTTAAAGGAAGACTCATGATGACTCATTTTATGGATCTTTATTACTTGTGTGCAGGACTTACTTAACTTTCTCTAAGGTGACTTTCAGGAGTGCTGTCATTCCCAAACTGGGGAGAGAGCCACAGTGTGCTGTGAGAAATATTTAAGGCTGTGTCAAACCTCCGGATACCCTCACTGGGAATTATGGAATAAGCCAGTTATCCACCCTCAGAGCAGGATGCATGAGTCTGTGCTTTGGGCAGCAAGGAGATGAATATAGAATAGCAATTCCCACAGATCCAGCAGGTGACCTTTGAAGATGGGTCATTCTTCTGCATATCAGCATGGGAACCAGTGAACGTTTTCAGGAAGGCAAGATCAGAGTTTCATGGGAGCTCCAGAGAATAAGGATTTGTATTGCCTCTGCTGATCTGTAAAGATTGTATTGTTCACCACAGTCCTTACATAACTGCATAGCAGTAGAATTTGCAACTTCTAACTAAATGTTTTCTAGTAAAATACACATATGTTTCTTGAAGTATGATATCTGGTTGAAATTACAGTTAAACATAATCATTACTTTCCTGGAAAAGCACAGAGTTCTCTTTTTACAAAACAACTAGATTCTGGCAGCAAAATAAAAAGATCCAGGTATATGAACAAAGTGTGCATCTAATTTTAAATCAGGGGGAATAATGGGTCCTCCTACCTCTTTTCAGAAGTTTGGCAAAACCGGTAGTAACCTCTGTTTCAAGTCCAGCATGTTCCAATAAGTGTTTACAGTGCTGTGCTTACAAGTGATGGCAGCTGTCAGAACAACTTTGCTATAACCAGACTTTATAGAAATATTGATTTCTATAAACCCCTGCCTTCCCCTGGAATGTTTTGCTGATACCCTGCTGTGTTGCATTTCCTATTGAAGCCATATGGCCTGCCCATTTGGCCGAAACTTTACAGCCCTGCCATTTAACCACCCATTCCTTCACACCCCTAGTGGAAAAGCCAGACTTGATGGAGCCTGGCTTTGCTGCTTCAAGCAACCAGTCACGTACAGAATGAAGTTTTGTGTGCAGTCACATGGCCCCCAACCCCAAATGCAGAATAAACCTTACAATGTTTTGTCTCAGTCTTCAAACTCAGGTTACCACATACTGCCCTTTGTGCTTGCAAATGTGCATGATTTGGACTTTCCTCCTTTTATCACCAGGTTTTCATTTACTTCCCAAATTTGCATGCTCTTCTGTTTGAACTTCTCCATATCCCCCCCCCCAATGGAGTAAACTCTGCCCTCGTAGGAAGGCCACAGAAGAAATCCAAGCTTCCAGTTCTCAGAAAACACACTTTATAATTTTTAAATGTATTTATTATTTATTTTATTTAAAACATTTGTATGCTGACTTTCCACCCAAACCAGTGAACATCAAGGTATTAAAACTGCATTTTAAATGTCTATGTAAAATAATTAACAATATATTCAGAACATACAGATATACAAACATGGCACAACCAGAGAGGCCAATAGACTAACCTTGAAGCACATTATTAAGCAGAGACTGCCCCAAATACTCTTTAAAGGTAAAGGTTCCCTTGCTCGAAAGCCAGTCGAGTCCGACTCTAGGGTTGCGGTGCTCATCTCCATTTCAAAGCCGAAGAGCCAGCGCTGTCCAAAGACGTTTCCGTGGTCATGTGGCCAGCATGATTAAACACCAAGGCGCACGGAACGCTGTTACCTTCCCACCGAAGTGGTACCTATTTATCTACTTGCAATTTCTTGCTTTCGAACTGCTAGGTTGGCAGGAGCTGGAACTAGAGATGGGAGGTCACTCCATCATGCGGCAACTCGGGTCTCGAACTACTGAACTACTGACCTTCCACAGCCTGCAGTTCAGCATCTTAACCACTTGAGCCACCGCAGCTCCAAATACTCTTATGGAGGACTAATACCTGTGACAGGCCGTACTATGCAGCTACTATTATAGTCCAACAAGCAGCTTCCGTTCTTCCCACAAATTCCCCAACAACACTCGCGCTCAGTTCTGCATCCTCTTGAAGCCGATGTTCCTTTCCTGTTTGGATATCTATGGGAGGTCTCTAGAAATCCCTGCCAATCCCCCCCCCCCCCCGGAGGTAAAGAATGGGCAGATAAACCAAACCAATTCAGAGGAGTGATTTTTTTTTCTCCTCTAAAAATCTCATTGGCAGAGCAATTGGTAGGAACAGACACATCTTTTGGAAAGGTTACTTCAGTAACAGCTGTTGGGGGCTTTTTAAAAATGGAGGTTGCCTCTTTTTCCTGAAATGTCAGCCTTAGGTCTTTACAGGCAACCTAATTAG